TTAACGGTTTTGGGGTTTAGGGTTTAGGGTCTGGGGTTTAACGGTTTTGGGGTTTAGGGTCTGGGGTTTAACGGTTTAGGGGTTTAGAGGTTTTAGGGTTTATGGGTGTAGGGTTTAGGGTCTGGGGTTTAACGGTGTTGGGGGTTAGGGGTTTTAGGGTTTAGGTGTTTAGGGTTTGGGGTTTAGGGTCTGGGGTTTAACGGTTTAGGGGTTTAGGGGTTTCAGGGTTTAGGGGTTTAGGGTTTAGGGTCTGTGGTTCAACGGTTTACGGTCTAGGGTCTGGGGTTCAAGGGCTTAGGGTCTAAGGTTTAGGGTAGTTTAGGGTTTAACATCTAGGGTTTAGGGTTTAGGGTGTGGGTTTTAGGGTTCAAGGTCTAGGGTTTGGGGTTTAAGGTTTAGGGTCACCGGCTCCTTCTTGAAATATTACTGAGAATGGTTTGTGCTGGGTATAGTGGGATTATTTGGGGTTATAGAGGGGCATGCGGGTAATATGAAGAAAACGATGCTTCATGCCCTGTATGGGCGGTAGAAAAGAGGAGTTCAAAACGGCCTCCAAGATTGACGAGGGTGTCAGGCTTAGGGTTTAATAGTAGTGGTATCAAAACAGCAGTAATGATGATCATGGTAACTACTGATACCTATATCGGCAGAGAGTCTTCTGAGCTGCCATAGCAGGGCGCCCAGCGCTGTACAGCTCGTTGCCTGGGGCTCAGGTTCAGGGTTCACTGCCACCAGCAACACCCCTAAAACCCCAAACTCCAAACCCCAAGCCCAAAACCCTAAACCCCAAACCTAAACCCTAAACCCGAAGTCCAGACTTTTTTTCAGGCCCAGCGCCGGGCAAGTCCAAAAGGTCCTGCTGCTCTGCTTGGCGGCGGGTGAATGAACGCGCCAGCAACCTCATCTCAGGGTTGAGGTTGTGGATTAAGGGCTAGGGGTTAAGGGTTCAGGGTGTAGGGTTTAGGCTTACTAGGGACAGTATAGGGGTTATGTAGGATTATAGAGGGACGGTGTAGTTGATGTACCCAATAGTGGAAGTTAAGTCTTAGGGTTTGAGGTTTGGGATGTGGGGCGTGGAGTGTAAGGCTCAGTTTAATAAGGTTTGCTGTTTAGGGTTTGGGGTTTTGGGTTTGGGGGTTCAGGGCTTAGGGTTTAGGGTTTGGGATTTGGGGTTCGGGATTTAAAGTTCAAGGTTTTTAGGGACCTTCAAAGAGGGGATGTGTCTAGGGATATACACCGACCTGCAACGGGGATACGGGGTATGTAGGGAAAAGATCTAGCTCGCAGTTCGGGATATACAAGGGCTCGGTTTTGGGGTTCAAGTTTCAAGGCGTAGGGTCAGGGTAGTGCAGAGTCAAATCGAAAATGAAATGGAAACTGCTGTTACACTGGGTTTCTAAGATATTGAAATTGTTGGGATTGTCAGGGCTTAGGGCTGCGGAGAAACAAATGGAAAAAGACATGGAAACTTAGATGGAAACTGTAGTCGCACCGTGGTCTATCGGATTTACAGTCTACGAATGCAGGGTTGGCGGGAATTGGGTGCTCGTCAAGCTCATATACCCTGTCTTTCATCTCCTTTCCAAGGACACTGGTCTTTGAAGGTTCCGCCTCTTGCCACTCTTGTTCGGGGGAGGGTAGGACTTTGGGGGTTCGGGTTTAAGGTCCTCACATGGGTTGGGCTTTACTGGTTTCGGGCTGGCGGGTGGTGGTGGCAGTATGTTTGCTAACCGGTGGTGCTGATCACAAGACGAACCAGACCCAGCAGATTGTGTCTAAGATGCAACGATACTTGCAAAATAACACGCGAGAATAAGCACAAAGAAGTCTTCTGCCGCTGCTGTTCCAGAAGCGGGGCAGACAAATACAAGTGACAGAGTAGGAACACAAGTCGGCGTGCTGGTAGAATCGGCAGAGGACATAGCAGGCAAGGCTTTTGAGGAACTTGCAGGGTTTGATGTACTGCCTGATAATCCAAGATTGCGGGTTCCTGGCTCTACAAAGCGGATGGTGATTAGTTGCTCTGGTTTAAAAGCTTACAAGACTACGGGTAGCACAACAAAATACAAGCTCCCCTAGACCCCAGAACACCCTAAACCCCTAACCCCTAACCCCAAACCCCGAAACCTAAACCCTTAACTCCCAAACCCTAAAGTTTGAAACTCCCAAACCTTAAACCCCTAAACCCTAAACCCTTAGACACTAAACCCCTAAACCCAAAACCCCTAGACCCTAAACCCCTAAACCTCAACCCCAGGAAAATCAGGCCGGCTCCTGCTTGGTTTCAGGTTCATGCAGGCATTTCACATCTTCTTCTTCTAAGTAACCGGGGTTAGGGTTCAGGTTTTAGGGATCTGGTCTTTGCGTGATAATCTACTGAGGCAGAAGCCCCACCCCAATCCCCAACCTTACTGGATTTTAGTAGGGAATGAAGGACTATATCATTTGGGGATTTTATTCCCTTATGCACTACTAACAACCAGTAAGCAACCCTCAACCTCAGGCGAACTCCAAGCATGAGTACCATGGTTCTGTCCCAGTAACCTGCAGCAGATCAGCTGCAACAGCAGCAACAAGGCAATGCCAGCAACGGGCACCTCTACTCGGCGTTAGATTTAAGAGTTTTGGTTATAGGGAACTTGGGACATTCTGGCAATCACTCGGGGGACTGCACAGGGGTTTAAAAATTCCCGAAAGATTGTTGCGAGATCAGAGTTTTGGTCTCAACCCATGCATGAAGTTATGACAAGGGAGCTTCTCAAGATGGAGGCATGCCTGGGGCCCCAGTAGCCAAGGGGCGTCAAGGCAGCCAAGAGAGGATCATGGCTAAGGGTTTAGGGCTTCGGGTTTAAAATCTATGGTTTAGGGTGCTTCAGGATTCTGAAAAGGTGAGCCTGTCAAAACTTGCAGGCTCCGGTTCTTGCATTCAAGCGAGCCATTGACCTCTAGACCCAGGCCCTGAAACCGTCAACAATAGGCTCCATTTTGGGAGTCCCTCATGAGTTTGCGGTTTCAGGGTCGAGGATTCCGGGAAGTACACACTCTGCGGAGCTTTGCAGGCTGCGTGGGGTCCCGAGACTTTAAGACATCCCTTTTATCCCTCGTAGTCTTTGTTGTAATCTTTAACTGACTTCTGTCTCGAAGACTTCGTTAGCTACAGCCGCAACAGTTAACGTTAGCCTGACCTGAATCAGTCCTACAGAAATGTCAGTTTCCCGAAATAAGGGGACCCCAATATAGACCCCAATATACTATAGGCCTTATTATGGGGACCCCCAAAAAGGTACCCCTAATTTTCGGAAACCCCCAAACGTCGGCAGATGTGGCGAAAAAAATGCAGGATGCGGCTCTGAAACCTCATCCCACGTCCAACCCTGGACCCTAAACCCCAAGGGTTTAGGGTTTAGGGGAGGGCTAACCCTAAACCCTAAGCCTGGGCCCTTGAAAGTTGAACATCTGTTCCAGAGCCCTGAAGAAATTTCTCCGAATGCGTTTCGTGACGGCAAAGACGGCAACAACTGACAATTACCTAAGAAACACCCTAAATCCCAGGACAAGCAGCTGCAAATCCTAATCCTTTAATATCCCTTAAACCCTAAACCCTGAACCCTAAAACCCTTAGAGTAAACCCTTAGCGCTAACCCACACAACAACTTCCGATATCAAGGCGAGTTGCGGCAAGCGACACCCCAATCCTGTCATGCTGGTTTAGGGTTTAGGGTCTGAGGCATTGGAAGGTTTGGGAGCCTGGGAGGGGGTCGAATAATAGCACTAACTGTTGTGTTGTTAACTACAGTATCAATTCCTTAGCCCTAAACCGCATAGGTTCAGGGCTCAAATGCTCGGAGGATCCGCTCATGGCAGGCTTGTCCTGCCTCTGCTTGCGCCTTCGCACTCTCGCTCCGAAAGCTGCTTTCCATGTTAGCAAGGTTGGATAGTTGGGCTGCAAGGCTGTGGGCTTAGTGTTTATGGTTGAGGGTTTAGGGAATTTGGGATCCTACTACTTCATAGGCTATCTTCAGGGAAGGAATTTCAGGAACAGAGAAGCAGCTGCAACCATTCAAGCTCCAAACCTTAAACAGGACCAAGAATTGGAAACCTTGACCTTAAGCCCTGGAGCCTAAATCCTAAATCCCGAACCCAAAGCCTTGATCCTCAATCTCCACACTCTTATGCTTGAAGCCTAAACTTTCAATCCCTTATATCGATACCCAGAACCCCATCTAAGTTGTCCAAAACCGGGCAGATGGCCTGTTCAGTGTAAGCGGCATGAAAGTCTTCGGCGAAGCGAACAGCCGCCAGGCCCCTCACAGGTAGTAGGGTAAAAACGCCAAAGCCAAAATCCTAAACCCTAGATCTTGATAAGACGATGCTTCATATTTGTATTTGGGAACATGAAAAATGAAATGGAAGCTGGGATGACAGGGATGAACTTGAGCCCCAAATCCTAAGCCATAAACTCTAAATCACAAATCCCAAAGCGCGTACGCCCCAAAATTCGCCTGAGGAGTTCATCAGCTGCTCGCCCAGCCAATCGTGCTGCTCTTCACCCAAGAGGCTGTCTTTGCTTGCCTCAAGGTTTAAGGTTTAGGTTTACGGTCCCTAAATCCTAGGCTTTGAAACCCAAACCCAAAACCCTAAACCCTAAACACAGGCAGAGATGAGGGAGCTTCTTGAAAGCGATCCCTGGAGTCTACGGCCCTAGATCTTGGCAAGATCATGGTCAGTATTTCTTCTTTTTTAGGGTTTAGGGTTTAGGGTTTGAAGAGCATGGAAAACGAAATGGAAGCTGGGATTATATAAGGAATGATAGGGATTAATGCTGGTTAGCTTTGCCAGGGACACCCCCATGTTTGATGCTTGCGAAGAGTGCTGGCATCCGCTTCGGTTGGGGTTCAGAAATTCAAAAGCGGGTTTAGGGTTTTAGGGTTTAGGGTTTTAGGGTTTAGGGTTTTAGGGTTTAGGGTTTTAGGGGTTTAGGGTTTAGGGTTTAGGGTTTAGGGTTCTATAAATAGGAGGACAAACATAGATCCCAAATACTATATATATATATATACCCCTTATTCATTCTCGACTTTCCGAAAAGGTATCCCTAATCTTCGGAAACCTCGACCCCCTAAACCCTGGACCCTGAACTCTAAGTATAAAAGAAACTACATAGATCTTGCATGGTTTTTGGAAGTTTCTTGTGATGGGTCCCAGGGTTTGGTCCGATTCCAGGTTAAGAGCGTATAGGCCTTCAGGTACCAGGTTTTTAGCTTCAGGGTTTAGGCTTTAGCGCTTCAAACCCTTCAAAACACGACATCAACGGTTCTAAACCGCAAACCCTTATCCCCAAACCATCCAAGGTTCTAGAACCCTAAACCCTCTAGAACCTTCCGACCTCAACCTATTTGGAGTGCCTGGTTGGGGCTTGCTTGAGACGGGGGTACCCTAGGTCCTTCGGGAAATTGCTTAACCCGTCAAAGCCCGAAGCCGCAAACCGAGGAGACGAAGACCTGAACCCAGCTTGGCAGTTCAGGGGTATAGTCCCCCTTAAGGGGTTATATAGGGGTTATAGGGGTTATATAGGATAATGGAAAAGAAAATGGAAACTGCTATTTAGGGTTAAGGGTTTAGGGTTTAGAGTCCCCCTTAAGTAGATAGAATATGGGGGGAATACTAGGGTTATATAGGGATAATGGAAAAGAAAATGGAAACTACCATAATGGGGTTTGTAGAATATGGGGTATATGGAATCTTATTATAATATATAATATACCCAAAGCCATATTCTATCTACTTAAGGGGGATTGTAGTTCCAAGTGGAGCTATAGATTGTAAGTACACCTGTTTGTGCCGTAACTATGGGGGGGTCCCCTCCCGAAAATTAGAAGAGGGCCTCAAATGCTAAAACCAAGCAAAGTTGGCCCCAGCCCTTCGAACCCCAAATCCGCGACTCTGAACCTTTAAGCCCTAAACCCTAAACCTAGACGGTTTACGATTGCACCGAGACATTGACCCTAAAAGCCCACCCTCGAACCTATATCCTACATGCCAGAACCTCGAACCTCGCCCTTAGCCCACACCTAGATCTTCAACACTCGGTTTAAGGCTGAAGGTTTACGGGCTTCTGTTTTTGGATGGGCTTCGGGCTTGGGATCTAGATCCTGCCGCAGGTGCTGAGGCTGTGGTATCAAGCAAGAAGAGGTCCAGCAAGTTATTGCCAAAGTGGAAATGTCGGTAACTGCCTGTTCGAGCTTTGGATTGCAGGTCTTGGATCAAAGCCCAAACCTCAAAACAGCTTGCACGCCATCCGGGGTTTAGGAATGGGAATCGAAAATAAACTGGGAACTACTGCAATAAGGCTTTCGGAGAAAGTGGCACGTGAAGAAGATGAAATTACCATATTATTCTGCGTTTTGGTTTTTGGGTGGGTGGCTAGTACCTCATGGGTGAATGGGTGGCGGGAACTATTCAGACTAATGTAGGGATCCCTTGAACTCCCTACCAAGTGACAGTTTCTCATTCAGCTCAGGGCCAGTTCAGAGCTCGTCGGAATCTACAATGATGGGAACCCCTAACATAGTACTTGCTCTATACTAGTCTTGGGTAACTTCAAAGAGCCCTTGAGGATCTCCTTTCTGGATCCTCCCAAAAGTCTGGGCTGCGACCCCTTTTGATAATTTTTCGCAGGAGGGTGACAAAAAAACACACCTTCAGCTACAACTTGGAGAATGCTGAGGCCTTCAGACTCCACCTTCTTCAACATGTGATTCTCCATAGCCATCATATCCCTACACCATCCTTTGTACCGAAGCCCCAAACCCCAAACCTTAAAGCGTGTGTTTAAACTTGCTTCCACCTGGCGCTGGAAGTATCCGACACCCTCACAATGGGAATCTTGGACTTTAAGAAGTCTATGTTCTCTTCTCCCCCGTGCAGTGCCCAACCACAGAGCATCCAACTGCCGAGTTTCCCTGGCGTGCCATCCGCAGAGTACTGCTGCAGTGCCCAATCACGGAATATCCGCAGAGTATCCCAGCAGGGTCCAACCGCAGAGTATCCCTGCAAAGCCGCAGTGCCCGACCGCGGAGCATCCCCGCAGTCCTCAACTACAGAGTATCCCTGCAATGGCCAACCGCAGTGTATCCAAGCAGTGCCCAACCAGAGTTTCCCTAGCGGCGCTGTGCCCAACAAAATACCCCTGCAGTCCCCATCAGAGGAGTATCACAGCACCGCGCAACCGCAGAATATCCCCGCAGACAGGGTATCCCCACAGAGCCCAGCCGCAGAGTATCCCCGCAGTGCCCCCCCAACATTTGCATTGCCCAATTTTGGAATATGATTCAGAACTGCTCAACCCCAGACTTTCCCTGCCACACCCCACCCAAAGTCTCTTTGCCTGCATCGCCCAAGCCGACAGTATTAGATTATCCCTGCTGTACGCAAATTTCTCGCTGCAGTGCCCAACTTCCGGGTCCCTGGAGCACGCAACCCCAGAGCGTAGCTATGACAAATCGAGGCTTTACACAAGCCACCCCACCATCCCTACAGCAGTGCCTAGAATGTACGGTCGATATGTCTGCAGTCTGGCACATCTTTTCAGAACTGCATTGCTGATACTTGCTCCATACTGTTGCTAGAAGTAGTTAATGATGGTAACAAGCCACAAACAGGCAGGCGTGGGGATGTTCGAAGTAGATGAATATTTTGCGTTTTTTTGAAGGGGTGGATGGCATTGTTTGGGGGCGAGGGCGGTGGGTGGGCCATGGCGGTGGCTTTGTACGGATCACCAGGGCTTGGGTTCGGGAACAAGACCAAACATTCTGAAAGCTCAAGCCACGCCCCTAAACTGGCGTCTACATAAATAGAATGGCTCTACACTCCTAAGATGCAAATAAGGAGATAGTATTACAAACTATTCAGGCTTGTACACTAATCCCAAACCCCAAACCAAATACCCAAACTGCGTGGCTGCTGGACATCGTCCTGGCAATCCCAACCCGCCTGCATCACCACTGCTTGCCCTCATTGGCACCCACTCCTCAACTCTCAGGTTCGCGGTTTAGGGTTTGGGGTCTTGAGAGTTGGCAGCTTCCATACAAAAGGACCTCAAAATAGACCCTAATGCACTAATACACTGTAATCCTTACGATGGGGAACCCTAAACAAGGAACCCCCTAATTTTCCGGAAACCCCCATGCAGGGTCCCTTTTCCCCAAACTAGGACAAGGTTAAAGGCCAGGGGCCTGAAATCAAAGTGCGGTGCTCCTATTAGAGGAGTTTAGGGTTCAGGGCTTACGGTTTAGGGTCGAACGTTAAGGGATTAGGGTGTAAGGTTTAGAGTTTAGGGCTTAGGGTGTATGGTATCGTAAGTGCTGCGAGCGGATAAACGAAGAAAAAAGGGGGGGGTTCTGACAAGGGGCTTCTCAAAAACAAGGGGCCCTTGGCGACCCTTTGGGTATAGAACAGTTACATCGACAGTACAGAATTATGGCTCCCTATTATGGATCCAGCCCAATACAAAGTTTTGCAGAGCAGCCCGGAAAGCGTGCAAGGAGCTGTTCGCATTGCGCCAGTTGATGTCATGATTGTCCTTACTTCCAATTGGAGGATTTAGGGCTTAGGGTTCCGGGTGTAGGAATTACGCAGGAACAAGTCCAAACAAAACCGGTTCTCTGCGACTCGAGCGTCGTAAATGACGATAAAGGGATGCTTCGAGCGGGCCAACCGGAAATCGGGATCGAACATGTGCACCGAATGCCTGCTTGTGACTTGCAAGTTGGCAAGAGAGTTTGAGGTCCCAGCACTTCAGCCTCCGTGCTGCAACAGAAACATCGAAGTTCCAGCACAGCTCGCGAGGTTGATTTTGCAAAGCGGGGAAATGTGAAAGAATCAATCAGTCGGTCAGGACCCTCGCATGATGAGGATTCCTCAATGCCACTCGCACAGATGCGTGGCGAAAACCTAATGTAATCCTTACAAAACAAACTGCTCTTGCTGTTGAGAAACTGAGGACGGCAGTTTCCAAGGTGGCAGGGGTTAAGACAAGGGTGTGTCAAAGGGGTTGCATGGCCCTCAACCCTAAACCCTCAAACCATAAACCCTAAACCCAGCGGGGTCCCTCAAGATGCTTTAGATCCTCTTGATCTCCTCCTTACTACAATCTTTGGACAGCCCTGCCCCACTCTGAATCCAACATCCTAGTCAAAACTTATCCCTCCAAGCCACCCCTAAACTCTCGACTAAACAGCCTTGGGGTTAGGGTTTCGACTTCAGAGTGTGAGTTTGATTCCTTACCCTCCCTGATGGCTACTGCACCCGCACTCGCAATTGAGGCCTGTGACAGCCCCCGTTATATCTACAAACCCTGAGACGCTAGGCATTTTAGGGTTTGGGTTTAAGGCTCCTTTCCCCATATCTGTAAACTAAACTCTCAAGCAGCGAAAACCTAAACCCTGAACCCTAAAGCCTGAACCATAAACCCTAAACCCTGAACCCCTGAACCCTAAACCCTCAACCCCAAACCCTGAACCCGACACCCTCAACCCTGCACACTAAACCTTAAACCCTGAAACCTCCAAAGTGCATCTGGAGGACAAGGCCCTGTATCTAACGGAGTCGGAACTGCTGCACAAGGCATCCCGCAGACTGTCCTGATTAGGGTTTAGGGTTTACGGTTTGGGGTTTAGGGTGTAGGGTTTAGAATTTAAGGCTTGGGGTTTAGAGTTTAGAGTTTAAGGGTTAGGTTGTAGGGTTTAGCGCTTAGGATTTAGGGTTGCAAATAGAAGGCATTGAGTGTCCTCATGGGCCATCCGCGTTTTAAACGGGGGTAGAAGCGGTATATAAGGGGGGGGTATAGAGTGGGCTCAAAAATTGTCTTTCTGCGGCTGCCCCATGTAAGCTCAATTTCAATTGTCCGGCTTCTTGTCCTTTTGGTTTGTCCATGTTTGGGACACTATCCCCCAATGTAACTCTAAACCCAAATACCCTAACCCTATACTATATAGATATACATATATATATGTATGGAAGAGATTTCTGGGGTCCAAGGGTTCGGAAGCCTCTCATCGCCGCATGGTTTCAACAACGAATTCTTGTAAGCCAAGGAATGTAGGGGCCTATTCAGCCAGAAAAGCGTCTTAGGGTAGATTATATATTCTACCATGGCACCATAGCTGCAGGTGGATTCTGAAGGACAGTTTCGAAATCGTTCAAGCCCCTACATTAACCAGACACAATCAGAGCCAAGCATCCATCACGATGCCAGGTGCCTGCAGAGGGCTCACTTCTTGGTCCTCAGGGGCGTGTGCAGACAAAGCCCAAAACCGAACATTAGTGTATGCAATACCAAGATGGAGTCACCTCCCCCAAACTAACATGAAACTCCATATGGTTCTTTTTCCAAGGGACAGCAGTCATTTTACGCCCCCATGTTCGAATTCCATGCTGGTTTGAAGCAGAGAAATCTAAATGCTTCCCATGACTTGGAGGGAGCATGGGCTACAAAGGAGAATCCAAAAAAAGTGAACTGTAACCCCTGGGAAAAATTTGGAAATCAGCCGCTGCGTTCAGGAGCCCCGTGAATACCAAACAAGAAGCACTAAGTGTCCGGCTCAGCCCCCCAAAGGCTTGGGTTGTTTAAATAAAGCAAGAGAAGCAAGATTCATCTACCCTAAACCTTAAACCCTAAACCTATGCAAAAGAAACTCCAGGCTTCGTGCTCTGAACCGTATAAACCTTCACCCTTCATCCCACGTGACCAAAAACGTAGATATTCCCTAAACCCAGAACCCAGACTTACATAAGTAGGTAGGTATGCTACGAAACACTAGTTTCACAAAGTGCTTTTTAGAGGTATATAGGGCTCAAATAGGGATGTAAACGCGTTAGAGATGTTTTTTTCCAAACAGCTGTGTTATCTATACTGTCAACCTTAGGGGTGGCAGAAGTCAACCTGGTTGTGACTTGAATATGCTTTTCACCTAGCTTACAAAAGTAGAGGCCGCAGGCCTCATCGCAGTGCAGATCAGGAACACGAAGCAGTTCGTCCGGGTCAGGCCTCTCGTAGACCAGGTCACCTACATGCACAACCTGGGCGACGCGCAGACAGAGATAGGTATGTGTTTACACATAAGAACAGGTTACTAGGAAAGTATGGGCTGTAAGGCCGCTTTACGGATATGAGCAGGCCACCAGACAACTAGAGTCTGTAAGATCTTTTAATTTCGGGGTTTGGGTTTCTAGTTGGTGATGAAACATGTGGAAGCTTTGTGGATTACCTGCAGTGGGGATCTTGGCAATCCGGAAGACCCTATCGTGAGTCAGAGATGCAAGGGTCTAGGGGCTAGTGTTTACGGTTGAGTTTCTGGACTTTTCAACCAAACTAGGCCACCACATCTCCCAGCAAAAACCTGCAAACACTTCGGGGACATGGGTAGTCTGGATGAATGCGTAATCTGGCTGTGCCTTCTGCATCATCCGCTATCCTTACTAAACTTGCTGCTCACATGAACCCTGAAGGGATAATTACCCCAAACGACACCCGCAAACCTGAAACCCTACCTGGTTTCCGGTCTTGGGAGTCAAGACACCTCTTATAAAAAGGCAACATTCCTCCATCAACCTGAAAAACGGGCTGCTGGTTTAGGATTTAGGGTTGAGTGTTTGGGGTTTAATGTCTCAGGGTTTCGATTTTAAAGTTTACCCCGTGTTCGTGTTCGGGGGTGCCCCTGTCAACCCCATCATTAATTCCCTTCCCTCACAGTAAGCCTCCCCGCCCCTACTAATAAGTATTCCCCCTTATCTATAAAGGTATTCTACTGTGAGTATCCATTACTAGGGCGGGTGGTATAGGCCCGAAACCCTAAACCCTAGGTAACATAGTGTTCTACATGCTTTTCTATCCCCACCACCCCCACAATTCGATGTTCAAAACAACGCACATACTGTTGATCTTACCTATGCTTTCACAAGCCCTCGGTCTTAAATCCTGCGCCCCTTGTTACCTATAGAGAATCCCCAAAAAAAACCAAGTTCAAGGCCGTAGACCCTAAACCTCTATACCCTATAACCCAAAACAAGCCCTTAGCCCCATAACTCAATAGCCTACACCTTAAGCCCCATAACTCAATACCCTACCCCTCATAACGCGACAACTCTATAACCATAAAACCCCACAGTACAGGATTTGGCAAATCCCTTAGACCCTATACGAACCCATTTCCATTTTAGTTCCATGTTCTTGTCCATTTGATATATATTTGAATATACATCCCCTATAACCCTCCTCCATGCACCATACTGTTGGTAATTTTCTAAGGCTGTACATTAACCCAACAACCCAACCCACCCTCCCAAAATCGTAAACCCTCTACACCAACCCAACTTAAACCCAACAACCCTACCTACACCCCAAATCCTAAACCTCCCACTCACCCCAAATCCTAAACACTCAACCCTAGACTTACAACCCGGAACCCCTAAACCCTAAACCCAACCCACCCCTGGAGCCCAGGCACTGCATCCAGGTCCTCGACGGCAAGCTGTCGATAGAAGTTAAAGAATCCGCTCCAAAGGCTCCTTGGCTTCATGTTTCGGGTTTAGGGTTTAGGGTTTAGGGTTGAGGGTTGAGGGTTGAGGGTTTAGGGTTTAGGGTTGAGGGTTTAGGGTTGAGGGTTTAGGGCTCATGGTTTAGGGCTTCAAGGTCTTGAGGGGGCATAAAGGGATTTTGGGAGTCGTCATACACAGAATTCGCTCCAGAGGTACTCAAATGAGCCTGGGCCAACAACAGGGAGGCGTGTCGTATCGATTTCCACCATATAACAAGAGTAGAGGCTAGCTCCTCAAGCGCTGCGTGTTTGAGGTATTGCTGCTCCCGAGCTGCTATAGCTATGTGTCCATGGAATCGACAAGACGGTCCTGGCTCGGCTGCTTATGCGCGGCGTGGTGCAGCAGGACCTCCTACACGTGTTCGTGAGGTGGACACTCTCGCTCCTGTCTATACTTCTTCCGTCTTGCTGCAGCGGTTCGCGCCTGAGCACATTGCGAAGCTTTTCGCGAGTCAGTGCCAAGTCTTGTTGAGCTTTCTGCGTTTGAGTTGCTTTCACATCAGTTTTCGGCGTGCGGCCTTTTGGACGGTCAGGGCCTGGTCTGCTGCCGCGCGCTTTTTGTTGCGCCAAGTTCTTTTCCGCGGAATCTTTTGCGCGGAGCGCTGTCACCTTGCCCAAGGCCTGCACAAGCCCCTGCCTACACACTCTGACTGATCAGCTGCGAGCTGGCCTCTTCGTCCTCCCTCTCAGCCTGGCAGTTGAGGTCTGCGCAGCGCTCCTTACATTGTTTGTTGTCGAGCTTCTTTGCCGCGCGCCACGCCTGCGCTATGTCGATCTTATAATTCGCGACGTCTTGCAATGCCAAAGCCCTTGCGCAAAGAAAAAGCATGTGTGAGTGGGGGTTTTGAAGAGGCAATTTTCTCATGGCTCCTTTGGCCGCGTGGGCTGCGGCCTTGACTTTGGCCTCGGCCTTGGCCGCCCGCTCCTTGTGAGCTGCAGCCTTTCCTGTCCGTGACTCCTCGGCAGAGTCCGTGTTTCTCTTGGCCACATGTCATGCCTCGCCATGTCGCTGTTCTCGGGCCAGCTGCGCTTGCAGCCAACCCTTCTCGGCGAGCCGATGTCGTCAACCTTCGGCCAGGTCCGGCTAGGGGTGCTGATCAGAGCACAAGGCAATAGCTCAATCCACACCTTGAAGTCCACAAGTCCACATTCTTCTGAACTGTCTTGTCAGTCATCTGCACTTACAAGCTAAGATACGCAGTGCACATAATGGGGCAGTTGGTGCAACCTGCTCATCCTGATCCTATGTGAGGGCCTTGGGCCTTGTCGACAAGAGCCTGCTCGCCAGCAGCCAGGCTCGATTTTGTTTTTGCCCAGCGCGCCGTTGGTGTGTGACTGCCATGTTCATTCATTCTACAAGGATTGTTGTTGCAAAAAATGGGCTGTGCAGATTCCGAAGCACGTTTGAAAGAAACCCTGAAGCCGCCAATGTTGAGATGTGGGTGGGTGCGCTAGGAGGGAGCACGTAACGTACGCGCACACAACTAACCCCTGAATCCTCATACCTAAACTCTAAGCCCTAAAGCCGAAGCCCGAAGCCCTAAACCTTAAACTCTAAACCCAAACTATAAACCCTGAACCCTATGTAAACCTTTTCCGGAACAGACTGCTCCCGACAGACCCAAGGCTCGTACAGGACAGAATTGCGAGGTCGACTTGAGAATCGTTGCTGGCAGTTCCTCAAGGGCTTAATAGTTGTGATTTGAGGCGTCGTGTATTTGGGGTTAAGTTCTCATAGCTTAGGGTTTCGGGTTTTAGGGTATAGGGTTTCTGGTGCTTGTCCAATGTTACGCTTTTGGTTATTCTTGGGATTTACTACCAAAAACTGGAGATTACCTTCTGGACAGGCAAGGTACTGGTGTGGCCCAACATGGAACGATTTCTTCCCACAGAAAACTGATACAGATAGCGCGAGCCTGGACGCAAACCCGTCCTTGTTTGCAGAGCTTCCTTTGGAGAAAAGCAAGCCCACTGGCCTACGAGTACACCATGGTTCAGACTCTGAAACAGTAAAGCTCTGAACAGAAGATCCCTGAACCAAAGAAAGCCTTAACTACCCCAAGCCCAAAAAAAGCTTCGCCTACCCAGAAACGGCACTCCTGCATTTCGTCGCATAATGCACCCTGTTTCCACCTTCAGGAAAAAGCTTCCAAACCCTTTCATACAACTCCAGAAAGGCCTGTAGTTTTCTCCTGGGTCCTTTAACCCTAAACCCTACTGCAACCTCTTCAGGATGGCTAAGTTTGCCTCAGGCTCACATCCACAGAGACTGTGAAATCAGAACTTGCTGTCGCCAGCTGTCTGCCACGCCGGAGAGGATGCTCAAAAGACTCCCGTCCTTTGTGATCAAGGGCTTGGGGTTGAGGGTTTAGGGATTAAGGTTTAGGGATTGGGGTTTAAGGTTTAGGGCGTTTAGGGTTTAGGGCTTGGGGTCTAGGGTTTGGGGTTTAGATGAGTGATTCAGGGCTTGGTGTCTGTAGACCCTGCCGGCTGTGCCCTGCACAGGCAAACCCAACAGAACTTTTGTTTCAAGGGTTAGCGTTTACATTATGAAGACACCGAACATTTGAGACCCTCAAGCCCAAAGACAACTCTGCACCACAAAGCCCTTAATCCGAAACGCTGTGCTCTACATCACTGGGCCCTACACCGCGTAAATCCTTATAAGCTCTACAGCACTAATATCTAAGATAGCACCCATGATTTTGACTGCCCCTCCTAATCGCCTCCCCCTGATATTACACACCCCCTAATATAAAATGCGGGTTCCCCCGAATTCCAGGGCTGAAATCTGTCCCCAAGACGACTTTGAAAAGGGCCAAGACTAAAGTGAATTACGGCTCGGATCCTCTGATCTAGGGCTGACGGTCAAGGTTTTTTGGGCCTCCATGTTTATTTGAAGAGCGTACACCCTAAAACCTAAACTCTATAGATGCCTGTTTTGTACCCGCCCTATGAGAATCCCTACCAAGTCACTTAAATGTCTTCCATGTTAGTTGAGGGCAGGGTACTTCTTACAACATACTGGGCGAAGGATCAAACCCCACCTGCTACCGTCACAAGGAAGCCACGAAATGAGCTCACCATAAATTACCATTTGGCGTCACTGCCAGGTGAGGGGGACCACTGCTAATTTTAGGGCAGGGCTAGTGATGGACCAAAAAAATTCACAGTGTGGACCTTTGCCGCATGAAATTTGTTCTCTGCAACCGTATGCTGCGTTTTCCTAGCACTGAAACCCTGGACCCTAAGCCCTTCACCCTGAAACCCAACTCAGCGAAGGTAGGTCTCCGCCCTCGCTCCAGAGGCCCCAGAGAACTTCCGTGTCTAGGCCAGCATTGCTGACGCGGGTCCAGATCAGCACCTGGTAAAGGGTTTAGGGATTCAGGTTTAGGGTTGAGCGATGAGGGATTAAGGTTTAGGGATCAGGCTTTTGGTTACAGCAACTTTAAGCCCCCAGCTTAAACCCTTTAAAACCTGAACCTAAATCTACAAGCTCATCCTAAGCCTGAAACCTTACTAAAAGTGATCCTAAGCTCTAAACCCTACCATAAAATAATGTGCTAAGACCTAAATGGTACTAACCCCAAGTAAGCCCTACTTTTTTGGAAACCGCCCGCTTGGGTTTCCAATGGATCAGCCGACGCGACACCGTGCAAGAAAGGAGCGTGGTCCCAATCTGGGACGAGGTTCAGGTCTGCTGCAGCCTGGTGGGATTCCGGACCTAAACCGTAAACTCTGCCCTAAACCTCGAAGTCTCAAACTACCAACCCTAGGGTTTATGACTCCGGAGCTTGGCGCTTAGGTCTTAGGGCCTCAGGATCTAGGATTTGGAGCTAAGGAATTTAGGCTTACAAATTTTGGTGGGACACCCTAACCCTAAGCAGTTCAGGACTTTCAGGCTGATTGGTTGACTTTGTCCCCAGCCAACTAATGGTGACCACGCGGGATACTGGTGATTACATTCCTACAGGGTGTAAGGTTTAGGGTTTAAGGTTTAGGGTTTAGGGATTAGGGTTTAGCATTATGGGGTTGGGGCCCTGACTTAACTTCTTGTAGGTGTGATGGCTGCCTGGCAGAGGCAGGGCCAAAGGAAAAGCCGCATACGCCCGGCACAAAGCTGTACAAAGGCAGGCAGTAGCTAAAGCTTTTCCCAGCTCATGGGCCGAGATTGCCACGCGGTTTAGGGTTTGGGGTTGAGAATTCCTCGGAAGACGGGTAGCCTGGGGATTTTTACGGGCATGTGGGATTACAAGGGCATTCTGAAGTTGTCCCATCCAGGTTTCTTGCGTCCTGATTATTTCGAATAAGTCTGGAGAGGGTCAGAAGTGCTGAAAGTACCAGTCAAAAAGGCCCTTCGAAGTCTGCTATCTTCACATCCATGATGCTCAAGTTTGGTTCATCTTCCGGTGCTTTCCTAAATCCCTCGCCTCCAAGTCCCGAAGACAACCAGCCTGCAAGCCGAAATGACAGATAAACGAACAGGCGCGTCCCCTAGTGGTAGTGGTGTTACGGAGATCTGCAGACCCGTGTGGCGGGAAACCACCACATTGTGTACGAGCTTCCGAAAGCGAAGACTGGATACAGGACGGGAACGGCAATGCCCCCGTAGAACATCCCCAATCATGAGGGCCCGAGCTTGCTGAAATTCACGTGCGTAATACTAATACCAGCATTATATACTTACATTAATAACAAAATAATAGTTATAGAGCAGGCGATCCTTGTAACTGCTGTGTACCAACACCGCAAGTAAGTAGCTCCCTTGCCAACCGTCAACTGCTGGAATTGTGGAGAACCCTTCAGGGCTTAGGCTTCTGGAGTATGACAACTCTACATTGACTCCTGTCAGGAAGCCATGAGACTATGATTTTGCAATGCTAAGTGGGATGCAACTAAAAATTTAGTAGAGGCTAGGGCGACCTGACCACGAAGATGTTGAACCCGTAACCCTAAAGCCTAAACTCCCTAAACCCTCTAAACCCTCTAAACCCTTTAACGTTACACTCTGCTTCTCTGCAGGGCCTTCTGCGTTGCTTGCCGCCACTGGGCTCGCTTGTCCTTCAGAGGTTTAGGATTTAGGGTTTAGGATTTAGGGTTTAGGATTTAGGGTTTAGGATTTTGGGTTGAGGATTTTAGGGTTTAGGATTTAGGGGTCAAGGTTCAGTGTTTAGGGTTTAGGTTACTTAAACAAGGTAGCGCGGGGACCACCAGGAGGAAATACCGTTGCTGTTTATTCAGACTGCTGCAGCAAGGGTCCGGGGCTTGTTGCATGAACAGCTGCAATGGGAGTTGGGTGCGGGTTACAGTAGAAGCATACAGGAATGTGGGCGCATTCAATCTTGTACATCTGATTTCATCCTGGCCCCATCCCAACCTTTTTTGAGACCTCCAGGGAATGTAGGTATTTTTGCACAAGATTATCCTGGGACCCATTCCCGTAAGCACCAGTAACTAGGGCGCTTGGTGTAAGGCGTCTCCGCACCTTGTATTTGCAGGAATCTACAGACTTCCTCCAGTGCTTTCTTCTCTGGGCATCTGCCCGTAAGCATTGAGAAATCCTAAAATTGTGCAGGGACTGCAATGGGGATGCTAGGGTTCCTTATGACGGTTTAAAATGTAGGGCTTGAGGTGTCAGGGTTTGGGATTTTTGGTTCAGGGTTTTGCGGTTGAGGGATTCAGAGCTAGGGGTTCAGGGCGCGAAATTGAAAACCTCGCAAAAGGCTATCTGTGTAGAGCAAGGTAAACCCCAGGTGTACCGCCAGATCAATGGGTCCAGCCACGCAAGAACAGGCTTTTGACTCCCAAGATTATGGTCATGTTTTCCCGGTTCCTATCACAGGTATCTTTGGCAAGAACCCTAGTATTTTGGGAAGAACCACGGGAACCCACTGAGAAAAACAAAGATTTCATGCTTATCCTAATTACACCTTTAACCTGAAATTAGACTGCACAAACACTGAATCCCTGAATTCTAAACCCTAAGCCCTGGGCCCTGAGCACCAACCCCAACCCCCAACCCCAAACCCCTCAACCCTGAACCCTAAGCCCTTAATCCTGAACCCCGAAGCCCCTAATCCCGAAAACCTAACCCCCAAAGCCTTTAATAAAACACCAAGAACAAAAACCAGCAAAGCCTGCTCAGCCCTGCCTCACCGATGGCAATGCCTTGCGGGAGCCACTCTGAAAGCCTCCGTCTCTTCCGTGAGGGTTTAGGGTTCAGGGTTTTGGGCTTGGGTTTTGGGCTTGGGTTTTAGGGCTTTTAGGGATGTAGGGGTTTAGGGGTTTGGGGTCTGGGGTTTTAGGGTTTACAGCTTCGGGCTAAGAGAAACAGGAGGAACGGAAAAGGCAAACGGAAGCTACTATTTGGGGTCAGGGTCGGGTTCAGGCTGTAGGGCGTGGGTTTCAGGATGTGGGGGCGGAGACTGCAGGAGGGGCTAGAGGTTCAGGATTCAGGGGTCGTAAGGACTAGGGGTCTACATTTTAGATTTGAAGGTTTAGCAGCATAATGATTACCCTAAAGATCCAAGTAGCCCACTCCTTATAGCCCCAGCTTCCATTTCAGTTTCCACTTCCTTTTCCATTTGATACTCCAATATTGGTATTGTTTGTATACTTGGATCCCTAACATCCACCTTGACCCTAAACCCGAAACCCTAAAACACATTTATCTAGGGTTCGGGTTCTTTGGTTAGGAGGTGTTGTCTAGGGTCACGCATGCAGGGATTACCGCAGGCGTGAGGTTTAGGGACCAGGACTGGGAGTCTTGGGTACCGGTTAGGGCTCTGGGTTTAATGGTTTAAGGTTTAGGATTTGGAATTTACGGTTTAGGTTTGAAGGTGTAAAATTTTAGGGTTTAGGATGTAGGGTTTAGAGATGAAACTTTCAGGTTTTGGGCTCGCGGGATTCGAGTAGAGGCAGCCAGGTCCAATGGTAAGCTTGCGGACTGGCCCTGTTGATGGCAGAGGTTTGGGCTTTCGCGTTGTAATGTTGCCCTAAACCCTAAACCCTAAACCCTAAACCCTAAAATCCTATACCCTCAAGGACATTTGATAGGATGGTCGCCTTTGCTTCATGCAATGTTTGGAAGGCCATAATTTGGGTACTGCCTTCACAC